CCCCAAAACCCCAAAACCCCAAAACCCCAAAACCCCGAAAAGCAGAGCTGATGTTGAAGGTAGAACCTTTTTAACAAATAATACTCTTAGAATGTTGGATTTTGAGTGAGGTTTCTAAACCCTGACTGAGATAACATTACTGTTGCCTCTTTTATTGTTTCCCTTTCTCTTTCTGTATCTTTCGATGAAGCCGGAAGTGTAGTCATCCTTGTCATTCTTCTCATTGTCTGACATACTCTCGTCAGAGTCTTCAGCAGTGTTATCCTCTAGGCCATAGCAGTCACCAAAAGTGTTATTGATTTGGTACTGAAGAGCTGGATTTGTAGAATGTCTGATCCCCTCTACTTCGTCATTCTCAGAAATTTTGATTCTCTTAAGGTTATTTGCAGTCTCGCGGTTGGATCTTGGGAGCTCATCATGCTTGTACTTGTCCATGACTTCATATCTGCCTCCCACTGGTTTTCTAAGAATCATAACTCTTCCACTTCTAGCAGTGAAAATGGTGTATTTTATGTCACCAGCGGTATCTTCATTCTCTTTGATAGTCTTTGGTCTGGTTCCTGCTCTGAAGTAAAGCTCTTTCTCGAGCTCCTTTTGGGACAAGTTTAGGTAGTCTTCCTTCTTGATGGCCTTTGTAGAGCTAATCTTTATCCTGTTTGGATCTACCTGCATCCCAATGTAACTCAGTTTGTGATACATTATAGACAGCTGCAGCACTGTTGTAGGATCTATTTTAGCTCTCATATCCTTAGGAGGCTGAGTGGGTATAGTAGTGGTAGTCTGTGATAACGGCCCACCAGCAGATGAAGGATTTCTGGATAGAGGGACATCAGCATTGCTCTGGAAATCAGAATTTATACTGTTCTCCGGCTCAAGTACTGAGTTTTTATCCATGTCATGTGGTCTCTTTGTTCTCTTATTACTAGATCTCTCTGACCTATTGCTTTCCATATCTTGATCATGATGAGACTTCTGCTCAGATTTCTCTTCTTCTCTATCTTCCATCCTGTAAGTCTCAGCGAGATGACTTGGAAGGTCAATTCTAAAGTTGGCTTCTTCATTCTTGATATATTCCTCATAGTCTGCATTCTTCTTACTAGAGTCTTGTAACTCCATATATTTTTGCTTGACTTCCATGAAGTCGAGATCTATAGCAGCCATCTTGAGCTTTTCTCTCCTCATGACATCATGAACAAGAGTTCTGCCTCAGAAGATTTCCTTCCTGAGCATTCTCAGCTTGAGGTAATTGCTTTGATCATTCTTATTCTTTCTTCTAGTCTGCATTTTCTCTGGAACTCTTGATCTGAATGAGGCAATAGGAGAATTGTCATTGATGTCTGGCTTTTTCCAGAATGGTCTCAGCAAGGCGTTCTCTATCTTCTTTCTTAAAGAAACCCAGACGTTGTAGATCCCTTTGAGTTGGGCATCACTAGGTAGCTTCTGCTTACTGATCATACGAACCTTCTTTATGAACTCTTTATACTTTTCGAAAGAGTGAACATCATCTTTGGCTGTGTATTTCTCAAATTTATCAATAATTTCTTCTACAATGTCCTTGTGGCTTTCGTTGAGAGTCTTAACATTCGCTGTGAACTCCTCCCATTGAGACTTGAGAAGCATGAAATCAACCTTCTCATAGTTTTGTTCTCCAATCAAAGGGGTAACTTTCGGTGTATATTTTATATAATTCTGTCCTACTGGGCCAAGGGGTTTGAAGTAGAAATCAACAGGAGGCTTATCCTCCACTTTAGTGAAGTTCGTCTTCGAGGATTCCTCTGACTTGTTGCTCGAGTTCTCCTTCATCCCTGGAGTAATGTCAGGGATGGGCACATTGTTCTTTCTCTTCAAGAACATTGAGGCTATTTTATCCAAATTTTCTATCTTCTCAAACTGCTCAAAAGTTTTGAGCTCATTGGCGCTGCCATTGTCTCCGTGGAGATATTGGTACAATCCCTCGTAGTCTCTGTAGAGCTTGAGAGACTTTCCAGCATCAAATTGTCTTTTTCTAATATTTCTTCTGTTGCTAGGCATCTATAATCGAATTATTAGGCAAACAATCAAATTAAGCTTTAGAGCTTTAATTATTAGTTTGAGTGGCAATTTTTGATTCAAAGTTAATTTGTAGCCAGGATATGAGGGATTATGCGCCTATTGAGCATAATTAGAAGCCCTGCGTATCTATATATTCGCATATTAGCCCTACTAGGGGCCGTTTTGCGTTCAAATGTCAGCTACAGTTAAAATTGATTTTCTAATGACCGAATTGTCTATTTATTCAAATTAAGAAATTACTCATTGAAAGAAAGAAAGATTTTCCCTGAATGTATGAAATATTTTTGGCTCTAATTAGCAGAGAAATTAGGAATATTTAGAAGCCAAGTTAACCTAAATAGCCTGTAGGTTGCAATAAAGCCCCTGTGGTAATCTAAAGCAACAATGAATTCTAATGATGGAGGTTTGAAGGATTCTATACCTCGTTTTAAAAAATTTAAGGCTAAATTTTAACAAAAAATCAACTAGTAATCCATTGAGATAAAGTTTTAGGGTGAATACGGATTATTTATAGTCAAAAGTTGATTATAAAGGAGGATCCTGCCCTTCCAGACCTCAATGAACCTAGTTCTACTAAGAAATTTCCTTAGCAGAGGCTGGCTCTCGAGTTCCTGGCTTGGGGTCTAATATTTCAAACCCTCAGGCAGGATCCTAAAATTTTGCTATTTTTAATGAAGTTCAGAATGTCGCAAAAATCACAGAAAAATAAGGAGCTAATCGAGTAGGTAATTGGCATACTTTTCGTTATTTTTCCAGATTTTTTTGCAGGCTTCCCTCGCAGATAAAAATCAAAAATATTTATATCAAAAGTTTTAGGCAATTAAATATGGATTTTCGGAAGAAAATTGGCCCAGAAGTAGGAATACAAACGGCTAGCTCATCTGGGAGCAGACCGGCTGCTAGTTCAGACCCTGGAGCCCAAACCAGGAAGGGTAAACTTACCTTGTATATGATTTATTGTTGTAAAAAATGAGATTTCTTTAAATAATGGAGTATATAACTGATTGCAGTTATCAATATTTCAAAATTAATTGAGAAAAGCCTTAAATACCAAAAATGTTCTTGCATTTGGGAATTGACGAATCAGACAAAATTTATATCGAAAATTTTGACTCATTATTTTCCGGGTATTTTGTCGTTATTATGAAGAGATAGTCCCAGCTAGGTCTAACCCACTGGCATTACTAGTGTGAGGGTCTTGGTTAGGGAGAAAATAAGGGTTTATTATTACTGTCATTTTCTATTCTCTGTTCATTTTTCACATCAGAAAATAATTTATCATCATTAGAACATATGCAGAAGTGGTAGATAGCGGATAACAAACGCTGATAACAAGGTATATTACCTTCATTAGCAACTTGATCCCATTAGCTTGTGTACACCAGGTCGGGAAGGCGGAGATCCCAAGAACTTGAAGTGGAAATATGCGATTTTATACCTCTTCTAATGTATCTTATACATAAATGTATAACCATACAATAAATATGAGAGGCATAAGTCACGTATATTTCATCGACTTCTCTCAGAGGCTTCACTCTGTGTATCCTTGAGAAATAGAAAATTTTACTATTTTTCGAGCTTCCAAAAATTAATCAACTTTTAGGTTTTAATAAAATTAAGTTTTGGCAAATCGATTTCGTCAATGCAAATCAGATATCAAATTTTTAGGCGCATTGTCAAACAAGCGAGCTTACTCTGATTCTTGAGGTCATGAGAAAGCTATTAGGAAGTTCCTCATAAATCGAGTTCTAAACTTCAAGTCCTTTGTCTTAGTGATTTTGAAGAACCTCTTCAGGCAGAAATCGATCTTCGCTAAGGAGATAGAGTCACTTTTCTTGAGCCAGAATAAAATTCTTCAAGGATGTCGTTGCCATAAATGTACTCAGATTGTTTGGAATAGGTTTTAACAGGCTAATCTTGGATTGATATTTATCCAATATTTTGTGACTACCAGTAGAAATCGCCCAAATTTACCAAAAGTCCTTCTGAGCCAAACTGCAAAGAACCTTGGAAGAGGATAAGAGAGGGGCTACTTTTGTGCCTTTCAGTGGATTTTCTTTCGTTGCACCAACGTTCTGGGAGACTTTTGTGAAATTAATGGCAGCTACCATGATGTTCCGAACCACCATCTTTCTTTGCTTCCTCTCCTTACCCCTAAAGTCAGAACTCAAGCTAGGAGGAGAGGGAGATATTCTGCATGCATACCAAGTAGTTCTCCTTCCCTTTCCCTGCTCTGGGAATAGTTAGGAGGAAGGAAAAATTGGAGAACAGTGCCCATCGATCTAACGTTGGCACCAATGTCATCTTAAATCCATTTCCAACCAGCCGTCTGGTGCAAGACTTGTTAGGCATGTAGCACAGGTGTCTGCCCAAACCTCTTTGATGAACTTCTGTTCCAAAGTCTGTGCTGTCATTAGTTAGCCAATCTTCTTTCTGTGTGCATTCATCTTGGCCGAATTCATCATGCAAATTTTTAATAAAATAAGTTCTATGTTTGAACTTAACATGGGGTTTTGGGGTTTTGGGGTTTTGGGGTTTTTGGGGTTTTGGGGTTTTGGGGTTTTGGGG